CTCCACAGTGATTTATAAAAAAAAGACGCCCGGAAAAAAAAAAAAAAAAAAAAAAAAAAAACCACAACGAAAACCCAACCCTGAAGGTTAGTTATTCCTTAAAACAAATTTTCAGAAAAATAAACATAATCTCCAACTTGTACATATCAGCTTCTCGTGTTTCAACTAGATGTGTGGTACAGTTTTACGGCAAATTTAAATCAAACGCCACTTTTAAAAATGCCTTGGCTTATATTTTGACTGAGATTACTCTACAGGAGCTGAGCAAACAGCAATAGCTATCAGTACATCGTTACTCTGCAATGGCTTTTCTTTCTGCCTGCAACTCGGTTCACTAACAACGTCCCCGTGAAATCCTCATGGATTGTCCATGCTATTTCCAAATACACACCATGAGCTGACGCATTGTGTTGGACAAATGAATTCATAGCTCCTAGCCCTAAATCATGCCCTACAGTACACCTACGTCATTCAATTAGTTATTTTTAATGACAGCTTATTTTGAATTCCTTTCCATACATAATGAGCAGACTCTTTCTCCCGAGAAACATCAGTCTGCAGTTCCAAAGCAGATTATACGCCCAGCATGAACGCAACAATTTACAGAAAGCATAAGAAGCTGGCCGGTCTGTGTGCCATCACATGCATACGTATTTTCCTTCTGAATATCCACAACAAAAAGTGAAATGAGTTTTTTTGTTCTTAGCTCTACCAGCGTAATCTCCCTAACTCGCATCGCTATGCGCTGTGAAAGCCAAGCTACAGCCCCAGCTGAAGGCCTAGATATTTGAGAATATATTTTATTTGGACCAGAGTTCATACAATTTGTTTTCTAATGTTAGTCAAATGTTCCTGCTTGTTACTTAAGCATTACTCTACGGTTACCTTGCCGCGTTATGAGACTTTCTATTCTGTCACTCTGCAATAGCTCAGGACTGACAACTTAATGATTTTACCAGTTTCCGATAAAATCCCACTGTGCTGTAGGAAATGACAGATTTGGAATCCTGAAGGGGAGCTATTTTATACAGTTTTGGACACTTGGGAGACATTTTTCCTGCAGCAGAAATATCTAAGACAAAGGCGATTCTTTTCACATACCGTGTTTGTAAACAGCTGAGATTACTGAGAAGGTTTAAACATTAAAAAAAAAAAAAATCACAGAAAGGTATAGGTTGTCTTAAATGTTTGCTTTCAGCCTGAAGCATTCATAACTGAAATTTTCTGTAAATAGTCCTTTTATGTTATCTCTTCTTTTACAGTCCAGCCCTTTGGCATATCTACAAGTAAAACATTTTCCTGTTCTATTTTTTTCTTAAGTGTATTTCATTTATTTGTTGCAATTTTCAATGTGTGCTCCCATACTTAGCCATTTAAATCTTATCGATAGAAATAACACGCTAACTTAGTTGCTAAATGGGAATCTGGTGCCTTTCAAGATTTAGGTGCATATTTGGGCTTTACCATTTGGAAGCTGCGATGCAAATAAATATCTGATGTTAAGGCAAGTTAAAACAAAGTCATTACTCAATATCACAATTATCCTTCATCTTATTTGGATATGTAACTTGTACAAACGCACACAAATTGGATTTGCAAAGCCAGCTGAAGACTAAACCATCCCCCTTTCAAAAAATGGAGAAATGAGGGCTCGTACTATGCAACTGAAATGCAGTTTCAGGCTCAAGAGTCTCTAAGAGAGAAGAAAAAAGCACCATTTAGGAAGGTCAGGAGGCCATCCTGGTCCTACGAAGAACCCCAGACCACAAGATAACGCATCCTTCTGCTGCTCTCAGGATGTTTGTGCCTAGGGACATCTCACCCTGGACCTGAAGCTCTTCAGCTGGGCGCTCCGAACAGAGCAGCTTAAAAACAGAAAAGGGCTGTATCTCAGCAGCGCTGCCTTCTGCAGCAGTTCGTGATGGGAAATCTCTACGAGGACTCCGGAGGAGCCACGCTGGGTAGAACACTTTATTCTTTTATTCCCTACATCACTTCTGGCTTAAAATGTATAAAACAAAATGTGGAGCCCCAACCATATATTATTCTTATATGACTTTAATTTTAAACACGGGAAGAACACGGGATTCCACGTATGCTGGCCATTTCTGCCTGAGAAGGGAGCTGTTGGGCAATACTTACGGATTATGGATGGCAAATAGATTTGGTTTCATTTCTAACTCAAACACTGTGGAGTCAAAAAGCTTGGCTTGAACTCAAAGAGCATTTGGTTTATGTTCTACTTTGGAAATATTATTAAAAAAATGAGAGAAGAGGAATAGAAAACATTTACTGGAAAAAAAAAAAAAAAATGAAGGCAGGAGAGGGGTCAGAATACCAGGCATATGGCAATCAGTTGTCCCAGTCCAGTTTTTGGCAGAATTCCTCCCCTCAGATGCTTTCTGAGGCACAGAAAGAAAAGTACCTCCCCTCCTTCCCCCCAAAAAAACCCTCTCAATGTTGCACCTTTGCAATGTTTATGTGTATGCTACAGAGCAAAACCAGGCTTCCAGGCTGATGAGATTGGTAAAATCTCTGAACTAGCTCAAGGAGGTCAGGGACACCTGGAATTTTAAGTTTGTCCGCTTCTATTTTCCAAATGTTGAGAAAAATTATTTTGAGGCTTTTTTGCACTTACTATGCTCAATTAGCCCTCCCTGATAATCATCCCTGTGATCTGCATCAGCTAATTAGCCTCATGTGTAGCCATTTATTTCATTAATTATTCCTTGTTCTCATTTTTCACATTCAGACTACCGGGCATTGCACGTATTTTTTTAAATTATTCTTTATCATCATCATCATACTACACAAACCATTATAGGCCTTTTGAGTCAGCTGGAGTAGGACAGAAACGAGGGGGATTTTCTTCCAAAGTTGGAGGTTCTGCCGGCAAACACAACATTACTAATTTTACGTTCCTCTGAGTTCCCGTGGAAGTCCAAGTGACTTGCCTGAACTTCTCTTAAATTCTCATTTGAGCAGTTCTTACCATTCCAGCCCTCCGGGCAATAACTGTGTGAAATTGTCCATCAGACACCTTCTTAGCTGTGGTAAGCTTGTATGTGCCACTGCCAAGATTGTAGGAGAATCTCAGCCTCTCTTCTGCTATTTCCAGGGCCAGAAATTCTGCCCGCTCTCCGGTTTGGTTATCATAGTTATACAACATTAAGGCATTACTTTTTATAGTGGCAAACTTTATATAGATGTAATTATTGTTTGGATCCATACTGGGAAACTCCATATACGACAACTCTTCAAATCCATAACTGTTCAGTTCACAATGGTTCCCAAAAACACCTGCAAAATGAAAAGTAAAATCTGGTATCAGATAGTCTTTTCCTCACTGAGCATTTTCCCCGAAACAAAGTACCGACGCGCTCTAGACAGGGCTATGACACACAGGCTCTTTAACAAGCCTTTAACGTATGATTAAAATACGCAACCGGACAGAAGAATCCTATTACCCCCAGGTGGGTGTTGAAGAATATACATTTAAACTTAAAAATTGAGTTACAGAGGACAGTTACATCTATTGAAAAACAAAGTGCGTTTCATGGAGCTCTATGGTTTCTTTAGAAAACAAAAAAAACCCCCATGTTTGGCAGCTATGCCAAATATATGGTTGTTAGTTATCATCAGGCATTGGTTAATCCAGTTATGGAAATAAATTTGCAACTTGAGATTATTTTTCTTTTTATAGCTGTTGTCTGAGCTGCTTCTCAATCGGTGGCTCATTTTTTATACTTGTGATATAGGCGTACGTGTGATTAAAACATTAAGCCTTCTCATGTTTGGTTGATCTGAATATTTTGGTGCATACTACCTGTTTCTTTTCAGATCTCTGTCACATCATTTCCCTTGATTTTTTTTTTACTGCAGCTTCAATGAGAAAAAGCTTACTTAATATAGGAATATTAGTTACATTTACAATGGACTATGACTATGTAGGAAATTAATAAACTCTGAGGAAACATAAACCAAAGGAAACAGAACAGAATAAAGAAGTTATTCCACATGTTAGTAGAAAACCATATTCAGAGGTAGTTACAAATATGTATTGAGAACCAGATTATTTTTCTTTTTATAGCTGTTGTCTGAGCTGCTTCTCAATCGGTGGCTCATTTTTTTATACTTGTGATATAGGCGTAAGTGTGATTAAAACATTAAGCCTTCTCATGTTTGGTTGATCTGAATATTTTGGTGCATACTACCTGTTTCTTTTCAGATCTCTGTCACATCATTTCCCTTGATTTTTTTTTTACTGCAGCTTCAATGAGAAAAAGCTTACTTAATATAGGAATATTAGTTACATTTACAATGGACTATGACTATGTAGGAAATTAATAAACTCTGAGGAAACATAAACCAAAGGAAATAGAACAGAATAAAGAAGTTATTCCACATGTTAGTAGAAAACCATATTCAGAGGTAATTACAAATATGTATTGAGAACCATGCTTTTGTGTGAAGGTTTTCAACAACCTTGGAACTTTGCAGATGATTTCTCGGGTTTATCTGGGTTTTTCTGATTAATCTGTTGCATTTACTGTCATCCTTTTCTACATCAACAATGACAATTCTGGATTAATCTGCATTCAGAACCAAGCTGCAATTATATATCGATACCTTAAAATACCTGTGTTGTTTTATAACTTTATTGGGTTCATTCCACAAACCAAATTTGGGATAACTAAAGTCTAATAAATATTAAACTATTTTGGCAGCACTATATGCTTCTCTAATTCTCAGAATAGTACTCTGGTTTTGGAATTCAGAACTTTATTAACGTACAATAAATTGAATGGGCGAGTGCTGGTGTGGGCTAACAAAGCTGTTTTGATTTGGTCAAGGTTCTCTTTATCAAATCTACTAAATATAAAAGTGCCAATATCTAGTGTTGTGCTCTTCACTTGCAGCAAAATGTGGGCGCTCTCTAATTCTTGCTTGACAAGATATTTTGACAAATTATGCAACTTTCTCATAAGAAACCCAAGCCCTCTCCACTCAATACCATCCCAAAGTCCCTTTTTCTAGTTTAACGTTATGGTGACTTCCTTGCACTTTGCAAGCGCGTAGGATGCAAGAACGCTGACGTCATTTACAGTGGTCTTACTCTTCAGCGTGCCAGAAATGTCTGTTATTAAGTAGGAGAGCACGCACTGCTCTGAGCCCTCGGCGTGTCCCCCCCGGCAGCCAGAGTGACCCCCACGCTGCCATGTGCTTCCATCCCCTGCCCCTCTGGCACAAATATTGGCTTCCCCCCCTTGCAGCTGGGGAAAAACAGAGAGGACGGGACAAGGAGGTGACCATCACCTGCCCACGGACCAAAATCTGTATACGCACCCATGGATTTTATGCAGGTAAAAATAAATAGCGATTTGAGAAATATTAACAGGGAAAGGGAAGATCAAGCAGAGAGGAGGAAGAGGAGGAGGAGCGTACTCACCGAAGGGGCAGTGGCAGTAATACCCCTCCACCCCGCTTTGGCAGGAGCCACCATTGAAGCAGGGGTTGCACTCACAGTAATTGACAGCGGAGTCACACGTTTTCCCTGCGATTGGGGAATAAAAACAATTTCCAGGTCAGAGTATTCAGGTCAATAGGAAAGTCAGGCTGGTATTTAAGTAACGAGCTTACAAACCAACGCTGAGCACCTGGCCAGGAGGGAGGGTGCCAGGGACCGGTTGCAGCTGTGGGATGGGGAGAGGAAACTCAGATGCTGGGTTGCTCCCAGCCCTGACACAGGCATAAGACGTGGCCCAGAGAAATTAACTTTACTTTTCAAGTGTCTCATTATAATTATCTCACATAGGTATTGGTAGCGGGTTTTTTATTTATTTTTTTTGTTAATTAACTGGTGTCTGTAAAAGAGAGATCATGAAATGAAAGGAGATGCTGAACTAAAAATAACTAAATATTTTTTTCTGCCCCTATTGAATGCAACATACTCATTAGTGTGAAGGAGATACAGATAGCCCTTGCTGGACCCTGTATGAACACAGCATGCTGAACACAGGCTGCTATTGTACATTATATGATTTTTTCTTATTTTTCCTCATCAATTACAACCTCCTTCCTGACTCGGAGGGACCACAGTCCTCCGGAGCTGCAACAAGTTACCCTGGATACAGTCCTCTTCTAAGCAGACATTGTCACATGTGGTAAATATTATTCACCAGAGGATAAACTGAAATCACATCATTCATTTCAACGAGGAAGGAACCAAGAGAAAGAGTGAAGATTTTAACAGATGCTAAATACTGACAAGGGGATTCTTTGTAGGAAACTAAAATTTTCTTTGTATGGAAACATTAACTACAAAAAGTATGGGTCTTAAGTTTTTCATTGCTTAGCAACTCTTCCACTAGATACCACCTCTTGATACCTGCCTGCTTTCTGCCAGCAGTGCCAGCCTTCGCTGCCTGCTCAGCAAAAAAATGGAAAATATCGTTGCATTTGTCCCTCAGGCTTCTCTGCAAAACCTGGCAAAAATCAGCCACACTCTTCCAGAGCCCTCCGTGAACTTCATCTAGGCCAGGATATACGCACATAGCAAAGGCTGAGTCTGCCTCAATGCTTCTTACAGCACTGATAATGAATTATTTTATTCTTCACACCATATGAAATATAATGTTAAAAGTACAACATGAGCTTGTGTAGAGGGTGCCTGTTCTTATGTGTCACATATATCTTATAATTCTTAGGTCTCATAGGACAGCGATGCGCAATATTCAGTCCTTAGGAACTGCTGGTCCCTAAAATTGTAGAAAATCAGGACTGTGCTATATTAACTCTGCTAGCTTTTTCAGAATTTCACAATTTCAGGACACCTAATTAAGAAAAACCTCTTTTTTTCCCCCCCTCTCCTTCTCTGTTTAACCCAAAGAAGCTTGCAGGCAGTTCTTCGGGGTGAGCAGCGGCCCTCCATGTGCAACGGCAAGCAGGATGGAAATGGAGCGCTGGAGGATTCCTGTGGTTAATACGTAACTTGTAGATTCACCATAAATCCAGGAAACATTTCCAGTGTCTGAATCTAATTATGCTTTGGGGATATTTATTTATATTTTATTCTCTAATGGGCATGACTGAAGGATGAGCTAACTTTTTAGGTTAGATTTTGCTGGTTTCTTTCTTTTAAAATTATGGTACATAGCACAGAGCTGGGACTTACCAAGGAGAACACGTAGCAAGAGCGAGGCCGAGATGCATAAAATATCTCAGTGATGTTTCTCAGTTTTCACAAAAATCAAGCGTGGCTAACAAGGCATACTCAGTTTTTTGCAATTCAGTCTAACTAAATACTCTTCTTTTTCTCAGTGAACACTAAAGCTGGCATATTTGCTGAGTCAGCAACAGAATATGGATGTTTATTTTAGCTGCACATATTTTAACCAGCAAATAACAACATCTTTTTCATATTTAACAATTGTTTGAATAATTCATGCAACTAATAAAAGTGTGTTTGCATTTATTCCAACTGTTTTGACACAGGAGAAGACGAATACTCTGACTTAACAATTCATCAGAGCTATTAAAACTAATATTTATTTAAAAAGAAGAAGAAATTTTGGCTACTCCTTGCCATTCACTGAAGTGCTAAAGACCTGGGAAAAAATGTATCTATTTACATTTGGAATAACAATCCAACAAAAAATGTCTATGAAGCTTATTTTTCCTCTTCAAATGCACGTTAAGCATGCTTAGCCTAGAAAGCAAGAGTCCTTCAGCCAGATATTGGCAGGACAAAAGTATAACTTGGGAATACTACCCTAGTTTATCACTAGGGTTGTCCTGCATAAGGATTTAAAATAAATTACTCTGATAAAGAAAGATCATTAGAAAAAACCTGGTAAACAGATGATGAGCGTTATAAACTAGGAACTGATAAATAAATAAATAAATAGGTAAACAGCATAATATAATACCATGTGACTACCAAAAGAACATAAATTTATTTTTATTCAGTATATAACTCATTTCCAATTAAAAAAAAAAAAATCCTGGTATGACCGCCTAAAACTCTTGAAGACATCCATCCTTTTTTCCTGCTTTAAAATAATTTTTAGTTATACGTTTTCTTTCTTCTGAAGGATTCTAACGCTCCTGAATTCCTTCTCCTATGTGTATCCCTCCAGGCAACCTTACCTACCAATTACCTTACATCAGCTTCTTCTAAAGACAGTTGCTGCTGCAAGGTCTCATTCCCTCTTTTCTGCAGAATCCTGAACTTTATCAGTTCATCTGAAGTTCCTGCTACCTTCAGACCTTTGATCAGTCATGTCGTGTATGTGTGTGTGTGTCCCGTCCCGTCCCCTCCCTTAGACTCCTCTGAGACAGAAACTCTCGCGCATTTCTCATCCATCCTCTAAGGAAAGGTCTTCATATTTCAAGCTAATGTTGGCAGCCTACATTGGTTACTCTGCTGAGGTCCAGAGAGTTTCTATGAACTCCTCCTTTTTGGATGGTCCACCAGTGTTCAAACTGCACCTTCTTAATCTTCCCTTTGCATCTAAACCATGTGCCTCCTGTGCTCCTATTTTTTCCCTCTGTTGTTATTGCCCAGACTTGACTGGCAGAACTGGATCTTTCTAGACCTCTGAACAAGGAAATATACTTCAGAAATAATGTAAACAGTCAGGCTGGAGGGACCTTGGAGGTCATGATGTCCAACCTCCATTCAAAGCAAGGTAACCTTCAAATTTAGGTAAGGTTGCTCGGGCTTTACCCAGCAGGGTTTTTCTCTTGTTTCTCTTGTTTTTCTCTTCAACAGTTGGACTTGATGATCTTAAAGATCTAAATGATTCTATGATTCTTCACCATGGGGATTCCTCCAGGTAAGTTGCTGTGATACCAGTTACAACTGGTACCAGTTACTACTGGTTCTGCAACTTCTACTAAACTCTGACTTTTTTCTTTTAACACCTTATTCTTCTAGCAAGTAGAGCCATCCAAGACGGCAGCAGGTTGTCCTACCACTCTCAGTTATCTCCCTTGCAGCAAGCTAATGCTAACTTTCCAGTATCTTAGTAAAAGAGTGTATTTGTTCAAGTCCACCCTGATGGCCTGCTGGTTTCACGGGTTACAGGCACAATAAGATGTGTAATAAAGATTTAGATTTGGAAAAACCAAACATAGCTTGCAAACCCATTGTTTTTGCCATTCTGCCGAAGACATTATGCTTATATTTAGATATTATTTTTTTGTGGAGAGAAAGAAAGAGAAAAAAAAGGAGTTTTAAAGATAACTGTTTTTCCTGAGGAGACAATTTACACAAGCACTAGCTATTTGGAAATTCTCTCTTGCACAGATAAAACAAATCATTCAAGGAACCTCATCGGAATGAAGAGGCTAAGAAACTGTTTGCCACTATGCATAAAAGCATCCTCACCTGAGCGCAAGTGCTCAGTTTTACTGCTTTCCAGGAAGGTAATGCCAGTGATCTTAACCTCACAAAACTAGGGTAGCTTTGGTTTTCAGAGGTCGTTTTCCAGAACAGTCTGCTGATTTAAATTTTACAACATGAATTTGAGAGTAATGTTCTGATAGACCTTCATCCCACCCAAGGAATGTGCCTTGAAAAATTATGAGATGTATGTGTTTTCATGGCTTATGCAAGTCAATTTTCAAGAAGCATTTTCACACGTTTGGACTACTATGCACTTCTCGGCTGGGGACTAAGGTTATTTGGACAGCATAAGGAATTAGGCTGATCATACATGCTTGATTAGTGTTTCAGGGGATCAAATCCAGCGAGGGGAAGGCAACGTCTCAGCCAATGTTTTGGGAACCAGGGAGACTCCAATCCAGAGCCACCCCAGTAACGCTCAGGTGAACGTCGCAGTTAGTTAAGTTTGTAGATCTCTTCTCAGCAGAAATACTGAAAGATTTGGGTTATTCATTTTTGTGTCGGAAAGATCTTTTTCTGAAGACCACAAAGATTAGGATAACGCTTGGATAATTGAAAACAGACAGCATTCAGCATTTATCATTCATCACCTCAAGCTGATGATATCACATGCAGGGGCTTATGCAAAAATCTAGCTTCCTGAGAATTTTTTTTTTTTAATTGAAAAATGTAACGGGAACAGATACCAGCCGAATGCTCTTGGGTTAGATTGCAGCTGATTTGAGAGTTTTAGTTTTTGTGGTTCTCTGTGTCCATCTTTTCAAGTGGTTGTTCTAACATTTTAATCTTGCATTCGAAACAATTTCACAAAGCTACATTCCTTCATCTTAATGAGTCCTGGAAAACAGGAAATGAAGGGTTCAAAGGAAGGGCAGACAACTACTGTAAATCACAAAGTATATTCCCTGCAGAAGGTGGTGTTTTCAAAACCAAAACCTGATCACCATTAAGAGATGTAATTATAACAGATTGTTTAAACCCTAATGATGTTGCTCTGAGGTAATCAGTCTTTACAATCCTATCCAGTGAAAAGAACGACATTACCTTTGCAGTATGATGAAGTGAAAATGCAGCTGACAAAACATAATAAATCAAGGGAAAGTAAGACTCTCAGTTTTCAGGTAGCCCATTATAAAGGTCTACAGCTCATGTACTCTAATTTACAGTGAACAGGGAGCCTGTCTCAGAAAATAACTAATTTCTACTTACATGCAGTACCATGTAAATACTACTTTTTTACCGAGCATGCAAATTCAATTATGAGACTGTATTTTCATTCCAAGAGAAGCAGCAAAGCTATGTATATGGTAATCTGAATTAGAAATCCACTATTTTGGATGCCTCTGGTTTTTTTTTTTGCTGAGGCACTCAAGGTTTATATTCATAAAGAAACATTTTTACATTCACTATGGCTACCATTAAACATATATGAATCAGGATTAAACGTCCAAGCAGCTGTGTTCTCCTTCTGTTGGCAGTATAATAATGGAATCATAGTCTCTATGTCAAGCATTCTCAATCTGTATTCTGACATTTGTTTGCAGAACCTACTGAATATTAAATTCGCTGAATTTCAAATATACTTTTGCAGACATAAAATGCCTAAATATACTGAATAATAATCGTGAGCTTATCTAATAAGCTCTGCTGATATTCAACTCCAAAGATATTTTGGTTTTTAATTACATAATTTGGTGCCATTTGTTTTCTGTCTCGATCAATTAATTTCCAGACACTTTAATAATTCTTGATTCTGCAATGGCCAACTGATTTGAAAAGATCTGACTCCCAAATAGAAACGTCTGCCTCAGTGATAGTTTATTTTAAAGTTATTTGTGTTGACAAGGAGTTTAAGAAAGCTCATATCAGATGCCACATTTAATTCATGGCATGAAAGAAATCCAACGCTTTAAACTGTACGAGTCTCTCATCACATTTTCTTAGTTAAAATATTCTTCTTTTTTCGAGCTTGTCACATGTAGAGCTTTATTTTCAGCTGACATAAGGGTTGAACATTAAGAGCTTTGATACCAGAAAAAATTATCTAAACGTTTCTTTAATGTTTCAAATTATAGGCTAGAGGCATAGTATGCTGCTAGAGTTAATGAAGTGTTTTGCTTCATTGCAACAGCAAACATATGCCCAAGTAATCTCTGGCGCTAATGACCTAGAAGGGGATAGGTGCCCTAGAATTATTTTGCCATGCTTCTGGCAAAATAATTTGATATACTAATACAACATGAAATAAAATCCCGGATCGGTAACTTAATTAGAACTGCTTGTCAATTAACCACGATTACTCCTGACTTGAGGCTCAGTGGCACAGTTGTGAGGTTCATACCAAAGATCACATCGGTGTCCTTTCTAACAACAGACCTTTTACACTGACTATATGTCCACTGCTATAGCTGTGCTTTCAATGAAATAGTTAAACCTTTAGTTTGAAATCCATTAACCTTCTCCTTTGCAAGAAAGTGTCTCACATCTCCCATACTAATCTGGTTTAAGAAAAAAAAAACCCCAACAAAAAAAAGAACACTCGACTCCCTGATCACTCCACTGGTTACAAATAAGTTTTGGTGGCCGTGGTGGCAAGCCCAAATACCCCCACCATAATGCACACGGCTGTGCCGACTGGGGCTGCCCTGGGGCATCTGCAATACAGAAATACTCCTTAGGAAAGGGAATGAAAGCCTTACCTAATCTTCTCTGGTTAGTTTTTTTTGATGTCTGTAAAAAGTGGCCATAAGCAGTGGTTAAAATTGTTCAGAGCTTCCTTAAGTATCATATTAATGACAGAAGCAAACACCAGCCTGCTTTTCCAAGAATAAAATGCTGCCATGTCTGAATGTGTAATAAATATTAGAGAAAAAAATACTCAGAAAAGGCAGATACGTTGCAGAGATTTCTGTTGTTAATGAAAAAAATAAATGACAAGGGGACAAAATACAGAACAGACATGCTTGATCATTTTGCCGGAATTCTATTTTTTTCCCATATCCTTCATCTGTTTTCTGTCTTGTATAACTGTAAGCAATTTGGGGCAGAGGCTGATTTTCTTGCTTGGCACACTCCTAGCAGACTTGAAATGCTACCGCGACATGCATAACAATAACAAGAACAGAAAAATCATACTTCAGCGTTGGAAATGATTTCTACATATTTAATAAATTAAAATAGCTCTTGTAAAAATATTTCTGTTCTAATGCAAATCAGGGAAGTGAGATTTGCCTGAGGACAGAGCTAAAATGAAATAAATACTGCGAGCACCTGGTCTTCTGAGTTTTCATAACTACAAATACCTCATCTTGCACGACCTCTTCATCTATTGGGGATGCTCATATGCAGACGATCTCGTGCTAAAAAGGCACATTTCTGCCCTCTTTACATCTCTTCTGGACTCTTAAGATATAGAGAAGTAAAACCATACCTGTATACCCAGTTTTACAAACGCAGTTGAAGCTTCCAGGGAAGTTCTGGCAGGCAGCACCGTTTTTGCACGGGTTGGAAAGGCACTCGTTGACATCCCTCTCGCAGGCCATGCCAGTGAAGCCCTCCGGGCAACTGCATGAGAAGCCACCCACCAAGTTGTGGCAAGTCCCATCGTTGTGGCAGGGGGAAGGGAGGCATTCGTCGATGTCCGTTTCACACAGACTCCCATCGTACCCCGGCATGCACCTGCACACGAAGGGCCGGAGAGGCTCATTGGCCACAATGATGACAGGGATGCTCTCATGGCTCTTCAAAGCTGGGCTCACTGCCAATCTCCTCAAGCAGCTCCCTCCATTCTGGCAGGGGCTCTGGAGGCACCAGTCGTGGTCCACAGCCTCGATCCGCACCCCACTCTGGCGGAAGAGGACATCTTTGATGCTCTCGAAGAAGGTGGCCACGCCGCTGGGATTCACATACTGGTTGTTGCCGCGTTTGACGGCTGCCATCAGGAAGGTGTGGTTGCTCTCCTCATACAGCCCGTAGAGCTGGACGGCAGTGCCCAGCCCCGTCAGCTGGGAGCTTGCGATGCGTAAGAAATGGAGATAGTGATTTGTCAGGAAATCCCGCACGCTGTGGGTGCTCAGGCGGAGGAGGATGCTGTTGTCAATGGTGGCGTTGCCAAAGCCTGCAAAGAAAATCCTGACGCTGCTTGTGACGGCACCATGCAACCCATCGTTGCTGAGGACAGCCAGGTCAAACGTGCCATCCGTGGACCTTGCCTGTGAATGCAGCTCGCAGGTACCCCTGGGAATGCTGAAGAGGCTGGTGACTCCTGATGTTAGGGAGCACTGGAAGCTGTCTAGCACGTCTGGATCCTGTGGCTTTACGTTGCCCAAAATTCCACCTGGGAAGAGGTTGCCATAATAGTGAACAAAGATTTCTACCGTTCTGGGCTGAGACGGGTTGTCGTTTTGGTCTATTACCTTGATCTGCACAGTTCCCGTGGAAGACATCTGAGGAACGCCAGAGTCTCTCGTAATCACGGACAGGTAGAAATCGCTGATTTGCTCCCTGTCGATCTCTCTCGTTGTCGTCAGCACGCCAGCGGTGCTAAGGCTGAAGTAGCTGGTTGCGGGGCCAGTGCTGAGCAAGTAATATGTAAAGGGACCTTGGTTTGGAGGGAGATCAGGATCTGACGATTGAAGCGTCATCACAAGAGTGCCTGCACGGTTATTCTCCATGACTTCTCCTTGGCTGGTGGACAAGGTAGGGCCATTGTCGTTGATATCTTCCAAAGTTACCAATAAAGACGCACTTCCTGTAGCCGACGGCGTTCCTGAATCGATGGCCAGCACAGACAGGTTGTACACAGGCAATGTTTCTCGATCCAGCTCTGCAGTCACTGTCACCTGTCCTGTCTGCGGGTTGATGGAAAAGGCGCTGTTGTTGTTGCCAGACCCAATGAAATAGGAAAACCTGCTCCAGCTAGGGAGAGAATCTGAATCAAAGGCACTCACGAACGTGACATGGGTGCCTGGAGGAACACCCTCGCTGATTTGTATATTGTAGGTTCCTAAGGTAAAAACGGGAGGATCGTTGGCATCCAGTATAGTGATATTAACAGTCACTTCATCTATATCTGCACCACGAATGCTCCCAAAATTTTTTGCAAGGACTTTCAAAGAGATGCGTTCTTCTTTTTCTCTGTCGAGAGGTCCTGAAACGTAGATCTGGCCACTCTTCTCATCTATCTGGAAGCCTTTCTTTCTGCTGTTGCCGAAGATGAGGTAGTGGACTTCTCCATCAGTTCCCATGTCACGATCACTTGCAAAAACTTCACCTACAACAGTACCTTTGGAAGCTGCCTCAGAAACCTCAAAATAATAAAGCTTGGACACAAAACGGGGCACATATTCATTTGTCCCTTCTAACTGGATGTTGACACTAGCAAAGCTGCACCTCTCTTCATCTGGAACATTAAAAGCCTTTACCGTTAAATGGTAACTTTGTTTCGTTTCATAATCTAAAAATCCCTGGGTGGTGATCGTTCCTGTATTGGGGTCAATGACGAAGAGGTCACTATCTGAAGACTGAATAGCATATGCAATCACAGCATTGGGTCCAGAGTCAGCATCGGTGGCATTTAAGCGAATAACAGTTGTCCCACTGGGTGCATTTTCTAACACGTTAGGAAAGTAGTCCTCGGGGCTGAATGCTGGAGAATTATCATTCACATCAACGACGTTAACGGTGACACTGCAGTAACCCGTTCTGGCCACCCATCCTCCATCCGTGGCAGTCACAACTAGCTCATGCTTTTGGCGTAACTCAAAATCAAGTGGTTTTGCTAGTGTCAGTGTACCAGTAGTTGTATTAATGGCAAAGACACCAGCCTCGTTTCCAGAGGAAATATTGTATTTGATCAATCCGTTCATCGCGGCATCTCTGTCTCGGGCTGAAACTGTCCTAACCACCGTTCCAACAGAGTGACTCTCTGGGATAGTAACGCTCATACGGCTTTGAGAAAACTCAGGTGTATGGTAATTTTCCTCTGTCACTACAATTTCAACAGCCACCTCGGATGAGAGCGGAGGATTACCTTTATCCTTTGCTTTCACTTCAAACAGGAAGTTTTTGTTCAAATCGGCCATTAGTGAAGATGCCACAGAAATCCAGCCAGTACTCCTGTCCAGTCTGAACTTATTAGTTTTGCTTTCATCAGAGATAAAGTACTCCACTTCAGAATTCAAGCCAAAGTCTTTGTCATCCACTGCAGTGATTTTAATTAAGTTTGTGCCAACCCTCACGTTCTTAGTAACGGGAGTGAAATATTTACGAGCGAGGAACAGTGGTGCGTTGTCGTTGCTGTCTACTATGTTAATGGTGACGGTTGTCTCGCTCATTAGCGGAGGGCTGCCTCGATCTGAAGAAGTAACGATGAAGCTGTGCCTATTAATGTTGACATTGCTTGAACCGCTGGAGTTTTGGTACCTTAAATACTGCTTGTTGAAAATTTCCCCTGTGGTTGCATTAATTCGGAAGAACTCGGACTGGGATTTTATGAAGTAGAAGACTTGGCCATTCGATCCTTCATCAGGATCAGTGGCTGAAACCTGGGTAACCTTCAACCCAATCCCGGGAAGCTCAGGACACTCCAGGTAATAGGATGGCTTCGTAAATCGTGGGGCGTTGTCGTTGACATCCATGACAAATATGGTGACATCCGTGCTCACCGTCCACCCAGAGTCATGCGCAGAGACCCTGATTCTGTAGCGGTCTGTGTCCTCCCTGTTCAGCGGTCTGCTGATGGTGATGTCCCCGGTGCTGGGATTTATGGCAAATGGGAGACTCGTATCCCTTATGGAGTATCTGCTGACCGCGTTCACCCCTATGTCTTCATCTGACGTCGTGACTCGGGTTACCGTGAAACCCAGAGGTGCGTTTTCAGGCACAGAAGCACTGAATATCTGGGAAAACCTTGGAGCATTGTCATTTTCATCTAAAATATTAATGATAACTTTGACGGTCATGCTCTGGAGCGGGGTGCCTTTATCTGAAGCTTTTATTGTTAGTGTGTATTGAGACAATTTCTCCCTGTCCAAGGGCCTGACGCTTCTGATCTCACCAGTGGCTCGATTGATACTGAAACTATTTTCCACATTGCCCTCAATTATTTCATAATTTAGCTGTCCGTTGAGACCACTGTCCCTGTCCACCGCAGCCACCGTCAGTATCTTCCGCGGGGACAGGTTCTCCACTATTTCTGCAATGAAGGGGTCTTGCCCAAACTCCGGCGCATTATCATTGACGTCTATCACTGTTACTTCCAGTTTCTTATATGAGGAAAAGGGAGGAAAGCCTGTATCTCTGGCCTCAATCCACACCACGTATTTCTGTATGACTTCAAAATCTAAAGCCCGTGCAACAGAAAGCTGTCCTGTCACCTGGTCGACCAGGAAGGTGCTGCCCAGGTTACCACTGGCGATGTAGTAAGACAAGGAGCCTCCTCTGGCTGAAGACCCGGAGACGGTGGTGACAAGCGTACCGACCGCTTGGTTTTCAGGAAATGTGAAGGTCTCCTGATCCGCCTGAACGTGAGGAAATTCTGCTCTGTTCACAAACCTCACAGTGACGGTTGTAGAGTCTGTCTTGGGGTACCGGCCGCCGTCCCTCACGTGAACAGAAATAGTGACTTCGGACTCTCCTGCCAGTGGGTTCGCAGCCAGGATCGCCCCCCTTACTGGGTCGATGTGGAATTTCTCAGAGTTTTTCCCCACAAGGGAATAATGGAGCTCGGCATTGGAGCCAGCATCTGCATCCGTGACGGTCACAGCAAATACGAATGAGCCTGAAATGGAGAACAAAGTTAAAGCATCATAGCAAGCGTGATGCCAGCTTTTCACTCGGAAGCACTTGAGAGAGTCACCCTCCCGGTATTTGGCCTGGAGCAGTGTGCTCTTCCTTACACCGCTCTGAAAATTCACAAGATAAGTTCAACGAGGGGTAGGTGAGTCTGTGAGCCCACAAGACATGCACGCAGCCAAAAAAATATGGGTTTGAACAGGTGTCAGTGGCTGCACATACATCTGCACTGGAAAACGGACCCTCAACTTTTTGGAAGTGGAGCATCCCATTTCTAGAACATTCACATTAGGAAAGCCATAAATCTAGTACAACTGAACATTATTTTGATTTTTTTTTCTGAGGACAATAACTAATGGGACTGCATTTGTAAAAGCAGGCTGGTCTTCTGAGATAGGGATAAAATCACATAGAAATAAAAAACTATTGCACACTAGTGCAATGACCTGAATATATTATGCTTCAGGTCTTCTGAAGTTATGCTTCACAGTGAGCTTGACTACACGGACACTTCTATATTTGCCTATCTGCAAGGAGAATCCAGGGCGTTCTTTTGCACTGGAGTTTACAGATCTAATGCACGGCACGTCTTTCAAATTTGACACTGTCCAACCAATTTGCAGAACACTCCGTTGATGTTTTACTGGTACTGAAATTTAGAAAATACCCACTCCTGTATAAAAATCATGTTGTTTTCAACCTCCTAAGGCAAAATCATTTACGGGCAGGAATGACTTTGACAGCGTCCCCTTAAAACTACACTTCATGTCATGGTTTGTCATATGCAGTGATTAGTACTCCGGGGGAGGAAAATTTAGACAAGAACAGTATTCAAACCCTTCTGAGAAATGGGAAAGGAAAAAATTAAGATTTTTGCCTTCAGCTAAGCAAATTATATTATTAATTATTATTAGCCGTAGTTCCCCCCTTTTATACTTCCTTAAAAATAACAAGGAAATTAAGCTTTTTCTTTCCAAACGCACACTAGATATCCTGTGATTGGAAAAAAAGCAGAAGTCTTGATTGAGTTAGGAGGGTTTGTTCTTTTTTTTTGTAAAAGCTATTTCAGACGCTACATTGGACTGCAATAAAGTTGCTGGTTTTATTTTAATGGATGCCATGCCTGCTAGTAACACCACTGTCAACAGCCTTTCCAAATAATGTGAAAAGATATTAACAACTCCTTTTAAATGAAAGTGAACTAGCAACTGAGGAAGTTGCAAATAAAAAAGCGCATCCCTAGGTTTTTGCTAAGTTAAAACCAGCGTAAACATAGCTTAGGCTTTTTATATGTTTCTAGCTATAGTGGTCCTGGTAAAGCTATAGTTTGGTCCTGGTTTCAGCTGGGATAGTTAATTTTCTTCCTAGTAGCTGGCACAGTGCTGTGTTTTGGATTTAGGATGAGAAGAATGTTGGTAACTCAGTGATGGTTTAGTTGGTGCTAAGTAGTGTCTATACCAGTCAAGGACTTTGCAGCTTCTCCTGCTCTGCCAGGGGCACAAGAAGCTGGGAAGGGACACAGCTGGGACAGCTCACCCAAACTGGCTAAAGGGCTATTCCATACCTTATGGGGTCATGCTGGGGGAGACTTGGCTGGGACAGCAATCACTGCTCGGGGACGGGCTTGGCATTGGTCAGCGGGTGGTGAGCAATTGCATTGTGCATCACTTGTTTTGTATATTCTGTATATTCTATTATCATCATCATCATCATTATTATTGTTATTCTTTTCCTTTGCTGCTTTATTAAACGGTCTTTATCTCAACCCACGGGTTTTACTTTTTTTCCCCGATTCTCTCCCCCATCCCACTGAGGGAGAGGGGCAGTGAGCGGGCGGCTGGGTGGTGTTCAGCTGCCTGCCAGGCTAAAACACAACAGTCCTTCACGCAAAAAGCATCCAGAAAGATACTGCCAGAAAACATCAGTTAAACCTATGTGTACTCCTCATAACAGCATTTAAAGGAAGAGCCCAAAAAGAGTGGGTGCTCATTTACACTGTGCCTTCTTTACATAACTGCAGGAAAATAACTGAATTTGGATGGAAGGAACAAACTAAAAAAAACTGCTAAATTGAGCCTTGCCATTACTCATTCCCATGCAACGCAAAGATAACAAAACCTGGAATACAGCTGCAGAGGAACATCTCAGAAACAGCTCTGCACTTCATTAAGATGTTTATGCAAGCTGAAGTATCCTAAGCACTGCCACCGATCGGGTTACCTGAAGTGGTGGGTGATGGGACATGGGTGACGTAGGGATGGTGTTGAAATTTGGGCGGGTTGTCATTCACGTCGGCCACAGAGACGAGCACGCTGGTGGAACTGGAGAGGGCCCTGGGGAAGCCCCCATCGCTCGCCACCACCACCAAAGTGTAGTTCTCCCTCGCCTCTCGATCGAGGAGAGCACTGGTGATGATTTGTCCTGTTGATGGATTGATTGTGAATTGTGAATTGCCACCAGTAAGCCTATAGCTGTTTGAAAGAGAAAAAAGGAAGAAAAATTCGATTAGTATTTCATAAGGTAGCCTGCTGCCCAAAGATGATAACAATTTTCTATACTCTTCAGACCACCGTGCTGATGGGTATCAACAGGCAGATTTTTTTCTGAATGGCCATCTGTCTTCACTTTTTTCTCTTCTATATTTGGAGACCTGTCATAAAGGACATTTCTGGGGATTTCCAAGAGCAGTTGCTTAACACCAATAGATTTCTAATAAATGAGGAGCAGGCTGAGCCTTTGTACAGTTGGAGATATGGTTGGACATACCCTCAAAATTGCCAACTGGAGGCATCCTCTAGCACTGATTTCCCTGGGATAATGCATTAAGGGTTATTCCAAAAGGCTGACACACCTCTGAAATGAACTCACAGAATATAATTAGAAAAAGTACTATTTTCTAAAATAAAGGGATGACAATTTTACAAAATAATGTGAGGATTTATAAGTCATGTTTTTTCCTGATGCCGAGCTAAGTTTTACTATTCAAGATTTCAACATGGCTTCATAGTAATTCATAACAAATTACTAACCACAAAGCTAGAGTAATAGAGACCAACTGGGACCAGAATTTGACCCTTGATTGGGGTATATGTACGTGCACACACCCGGGCATGTGCAAATCCGTAATTTGGTAAGACCTGACCGTGTGCTTACTGCAGCGCGGCGTACGGGCTACCCCCGCTGTACTGGCACAGCAAATTTGTCCTTCCTCTTTGAACGCTTACCCAGCTTGTGTCTGTACAGAATGAATTGCAAAGTTACGTGGAGCACTGGGCTGGATTTTTAAAGGTAATTGGTTAATATGACATTTTTTTATTCATTCAGATACTGGGTTTTCTACAAAACAAAGGAAACAAAAACTGGCTAAAAGGAACAATTCCTGTATTCAGTATTATAACCCTGGCAAAACCCAACAGAGCTGCAATTAGCTTTGCTTCTCCAAGGAAGCCTGGTGCAGCACAGTAGCAGCTTTTTTGAGGTATAGGATTCTATAAGAGATTCAGAAGGAAATGGCTTTTATGAAAGAGAGTAATATTCCTATCTTCACTTTTTTAAAATCAGAACAGGTTATGACAGAAATAATAACACAGGCCAGAAGCTTTACCTAGAGGACTGATAGCCAGCCTGTGTAATAAGCTGTGGCAACTTTGCCTGTTCAGTCATTAATCTCTACAGAATGCCATGAGCATACTTTAATTGCTTAATTATGATATAATTTGACGGCCATATGTAATTATTCTTCAGCCATAGCAATGTGCATCTAAGGTGGAAAGAACGTGCACAAAGCCTAAAGCGCCACTTAAAACTCCCTAAATACCAGGAGCACGGGCAAATTTCATCTGTGATTTGCAATGTTTTAACCCTGTGTGAGGTGTCACAGGAGACAGGGACTTTCTCTTCTGTATTTTCACATATGTAGAATGGCTCAAGCTTCAGCATTAGAAAGCATTTAAAAAAAAAAAGGGGATAATAAAGGCAAATTACATTCGCCATAGGATATTCTGAGTTATATCTGAGTACGAGTGCATGCAAACCAACTGGACAAGGTGAGTGTGTTTCTGTACAGTTATAAAAAAACTTCCAAACCCAAGCCAAAAAAAACCCCAGAACCTCAAAACTTTAATGGTGACAAGGAGCATAAAAGGAATTTGACTGAAGCACTTAAAATCTGGTGTTTGGATTAGTCTATGCTGACCCCTCTTATCTATACTACCTTTAGCAAGACTGCTCCAGTGAGCATTGCCATTAACAACCTCATCAGCCTCCTTTAATGACTTCACAGGTCATCACCAGCAGTAAGAGAAAAAGAGCCGGCATGTAGGGATATGTAACAGATTTGTAGAAGGTTATCTATTTCTTGTATGACACAGTCCATTTTTTTGACTTTACAGGAAAATTTTAGCAGAGGATTTTACATGCCAGCTTTGGAAACCAAAGATTTGCTTTTGAAACAGGCTCTACCAAGACTGAAAAGGAGCTCTGAGTGCTCAACACCTCTGACAAGACGACCTTACGTGTTCTGGTCCCTCTGGCTTTCGCTGGTTTTGTAATATCATCCACATTTTAAGATTTGCATTACTCCAAGTGCTGAATCTGGACAAATTCTGTCCAAGAAAAATAAAGTACGTTCCTGAATCTAAAACGTGTAAAACAAAACCTGAAAACAATTTTTAAATCGTTACTTACAAAGGAAAACAATATTTTTATCAGGTATTCCACCACGAGGTACTGAGTGAATGACAAAGACTAATGGCAGAGATATCAAGGCAACTCAACCACACTGAAGAAATCCGAGAGCACCCTGGTAGAATTTCTGATTATGGGATGCAATCATTACAATCATTCATGCTTTGTGTGGAATTGGTTTTTCTAAAGGAGCTTGCCAGAAATAATTTCTTAGAGTGAGAGTAAACAGAATTGAAAGCTTCATTGTTTCGCAACTTAATAAATGGTAATTTTGGATGCTTTTCAAACATTTAAAGATGCCAAAACATAAAGTTTCTATTTTTGGCTTGTAGCTAGTTCAAAAGAAAATATTCCAGTATTTTACACACACTTGCTTTGCCATAACATAGATCTGTTTTATTTTACTTCCCTTTTTAAAAAAATGACAACTACAGTGATATTCTTATGGACTTTGAGGAATGAACTGAGGTGAACTAACAAAAGTAAATCAACAAGCTACTTTTATATCCTGCTTTGTAAGTTTGGAAACAGATACACAGGTGCTTGCAGCCAAAGAGAAAAATGTGATGAGATTATCTACGTGTCCTTTTAAATTAATAACTAATACGAATCCATGTTGTACCCCATCGGCAATAAATCAGTCCTCAGTGGATAATCTTCAGCTTGTCACTGCCACTCAGCATCTTCATTACTCTCATCTGTGAAACTGGGAATGGCCAGTGTTCAGCCCACTGCCCAGTTAAGTTGCAGCAACCGAGCTCTGCAAATCATTTGACATTTAAAGCAAAAATAGCAAATACTGTTTTTTACTGGGTTTCTGAATGGGATAAACTTCACACTTCACCTTCCATAATTTTTTTTCTGAACTGAAGACATTAACTGACAATAAATTTACCCAAGGAACACGTTGGCTTTCAGTGACAATTCCTTACCACATGAAAAGCCGCGAATGCAGCGGCAAGGCAGGGAATGGTCTCTGTTGACTGTTCAGCCGTCCACAACGTCTCCCGTAGCGCTGTTTTAGCACGTTGGGTGACATCGTAGCTGCTCAGCTACTTTATTATATACACATCCAAGCATGTATGAGCAGTCACCTAAGCACCAGTTAGGTTTGAAAAGGCATTTAAGGTTCAGAATAAGATATTGAAGCCTTCCCCAAACATATGTATGCTATGACAAAATTAACGCTATCCACTAAGTTTGGACATTTTTATGCAAAAAGCGATGCTGATTTCTAGATTTGCCTAGCCTTAAAATTAAAGTTTAAAGGTGACTAGAGCTGCACAATGCATTCAGTACTTTTTTTAGGGTGAGTGGTTTCATTTGAATGTAAGTGGGGAAAAAAAATATCATTATTTATCTCTGCCCCAAAGTCAGCTTTTGTAACAAATTTGTTAATGATGTTTGAAAAGTACATCTTCCTCTTCCCCACCAATCCCTTCTCGAAAGCTCCTTCAAGTACTACTTAAGAAGTCTGTCAGCTTCCATGAACAGTGGTTTCTAGCTTCTTCAGGAATAATTTTTAAAAGATTTCTACTATATTTATTAACTATATCCTTCATCATGAGGCCTCAACTCTGAAAGCTATGCTAAATGGAAGGCGAAAGCCTTTCCAAAGGCTACACAAGCTGATGGCAGTCGGTAACGACGATCGTTCACAGCCTATGTCATATTCCTTTATGCAGAGAATGCATATATAAAGACTGCAAGCTGAAGTACTTAATCCATTTACGATACTATTTGGAGTGTCAGGATTTCTTTGGTTTTTATTTTTTTTAACTCATCTACCTCTACACTTATTGAGAAACATAAATCTAGCCTATGAACAACTACCCTCAGGTGCAAGCTAAACTCGTTTGCTTTTCACTTAGTAAAAACCTGAAATAACACTGCGACTCTATTTGCCCTGAATATAATTTGAAAAGCCCACAAACCACAAAAAAAAAAGCCAGATTTGCTAAAATAATTTAGCTACACGTATACAGCTGTCCTTCGGTGACTTACAGCTTTATGGCATGTTGGTGATGGACGCTGGGGGGAAAAAAAAACCCTTCAGGCAAGGTACGAGGCAGTATTAGATACAGCAACAGTAAACGACCTACCTAATGACAGCGTTTGTGGAAGCGTCAGCATCTGAGGAGTTTACGAGCAAAATATCTGTCCCCGTAGGTGCATCCTCCGGAACAGTGGCAGAATACACGTTAAAGGCAAAAGTGGGGACATTGTCATTGACATCATCCACCGTGACAGCAATGGTTCCAGTGCCAGTGAGGGCAGGAGACCCTGCAGGAAAGTGGGATACAGAATGCTAGAGGTTACAAATACCACCATGCTAATCCAAGGTCTGCCATCCCCGATTTAAAGCCTAGCACTTGAGCATGTCACAGTTCACAGAGCAAGAAAGCCAATTCAACATACAGAACAGGGTCAGATTTGTTTCAAAGGCATCTCGACATAAAGTACAAGTTGTGAAAGAAAAACAACAAAAAAAAAAAAAAAGGCAAGTTGTTATTTTTCTTGGTCCATCTAAATCTAGAAATATTTTGTAATACAAGCTCAGCGGAAAAAGATGGTCTTGGAACTGCTCAGAAGCCTTCCTGTAACAATTAGGACCAATTTGAACATGTGGTTGACTTTCCTATTTCTCTAAGAGAAGACGTTCAAAGGTGGCACACTGACAGCCGTGAAAACTCCAGCCCTCAATTTATTTATCCGCAGAACAAATAGAGCGGAAACAGCGGCAAACCCCAGCTTTCCGCGTGGCTTTTCCATTGCCGGTCGCACCCCTGACCTGGGGAGACCTTCTCTGAGCGGGTGAGAAGGTTGCACGGTCTCCAGCCCCGTTCAGAGTTGATTTTTCTGGAGAAGTAACCATCTATAGCAGCAAACAGTGCTCGCTCGGATGAGATCTTGGCTTACGGGAAATTGGACTGAACTTATTTAACCTACGGCTTTCATCCTCCTTGTTATTCTAATTCTTAGCTCTGAGGAGCAGAAACGAGTGAGAAATAGCATGTTTATTCATGTGCAATCTCTCAGTATTTATTCTCTTAAGCTTTTACTTTGCCAAATCCAAAAAAAAGACAATGAAGAGTTTTACAAGCTCATGTTAGTTTTGCCAGGCTATTACACTTATTTTCAGCCAAGAATCAGCAAGACATCTTCTGCTAACCAAATACTTCACTGAGGGTCCCAGAAAAAAATGGGATTTGCTCTTTTCTTTGAGTATATAACAAAACGGAGAAGGAGAGGGTGATAGCGGAGCACAAAACACACGAGTTATGGCCCCTTTTACTCAAGAGACAGGTGATGACCATGCCTGTTTTAGCCAAGATTGCATCGCTTTCCCCTTCAATGTCAAACTGATACAGCGATTCTCCGTTTGCAGGACTGGGAAAAAAGGTGATGACAATGAAATGCTTTGGGCCAGAGACTGGTTAGAGTCCTTGTTGCAAGGCAAGTATGTTACAGGGAGCTGTCACTTGATGAAACCCAGGCAGTCCCCATGTGACCGCCCTAGTCCCTCCACCTCGGCAGATGACCGGGTCGCTGCTACCCGAGGTTATTGCTGGACCTCAACCTTAGGGCTGGGAAGGAGGTAGGCTCTGCTCTGGGTCTCATGTGGTCCTGGCAAGGGCTCCAGGCATTGAGCTTTTGTATAAAACAAGAACTAACAACCCATTTTCCCACATGTTAACCCTTGCAGGCTGACGTATCACCACGCTGCATCGCGGGAAGAAGCCGGGAGCAACTTCTGCACAGGAAGGAGGTTTTTCCACCGCAAAATACTTCAAAGTAACTTGGCTTAATGCACAAATGGACCGACTGAACGAGCTTCCAATTGAAAGGCACAATAAATCTTGCAAGGCTGACTTTGAAGCCTGCTGATCAGACAGGCCAGATCACGACGCCGAGGAAAGAACGTGCAAGCCAAAGAGTATAGGTTTCACACCATGGCCGCGCACAATGGAGGCCTTTCTATGCTCTAGTCTGAGGTAATTCATTTTGCCAATTAATATACTTTCAGCCAGGAAGGTTACATTAAGGCAGTAAGTCTGACTCATTTTTTATCCCCCCTTTTTTTTTTTCTTCCCTCCCCCGATTTTGTCATTTAGCCAAACACTTATAGATAGACAAGACTGCAAAAGCGTTCTTGATCGCTGAAATATTGCCCGTAGAGTGTTTATTATTACTGCATTAAATGAAACAGAGTCCTCAGTGGTGTTTGCTGCATGTGTCATCAAGCTCTGGCCTTCCAAACACATTTAATCGACATTCATCTCGCAGCTAATGAAATGAAAAGTTGAAAGTTGTTAAGTTTCACAGGTGATTAAACAATTTATACATAATTCAGAAATTAATCTTCGGTAAGGCACCATTCAAAGAGCATCAGGAATGCAACTCAGCCTGGAAAAGAAAGCTAACTCACAGTGAAAACCTGAAACTCATTGTTTTAAATGTATTTGCTAACAGAAAGCGCCGACGCTGGAAAAATTCACGCTGTCGGTTTATTCACAAAACTGAACTGCAGTGGCAGCGCCCTTCGCGGTGAACCATCCCGTGGTGA